TAAAAGTTAAAATACTAAGTCATAGCGAGTCATAATTGTGAAAATGTGTTGTAGCTAAGTTAAAAGTTTAGGATTAAAATATTATTTTTTAAAAAATAAATTATATTAGTTTATCAACTATCTCTTCTTATTTATAACAAATACTTTGTAAGTTTAAATTATATATGAATATGAATCTTTTTAAAATAACAAATTTGATTTGATGTGCTCTCTCTAAAATTGCGGAATTTTGCAAAGGGGACTTATGAAGTTATGATTATTTTATATTCTACTTTATAAAGACACACGTGTGAGGCATTCAAGTTAATCTACAATTCACATTTTTCTTCATTAAAAGACAAATAAATTTATAAAATTGGTAAATTATTAGAACTCTTAATATTTAAATTATATAAATTTAATATCTGTACATAAATGAGTAGTTATTCAAATAGGCATCTGGTTAGGAAGTTATATTTTTCAAACGTTTAGAATGTAAATAAATTTTTTTATCAATGTAAATAAATTTAAATCAAAACTATATAAATTTAAAATATAAAAATAAAGGGGTAATTATTAAAATGAGGAAATAAATTACTATTAATTTAAATCAGTTCAAATTTATTCAATTTGGGATCGTGAATAAATTTTCAAACTAGTAAAATGTAAATAATTTTTCAAAATTATAATTATATAGTTTTCCTTAAATTATATAAATTTTCCATAGTTTATAATAGAAAAGTAACAAGTGTATAGATTTGAATTAATAATCCCCCATTAATCTCTAAAAAGAAATTACTCATAAATCATACCTAATTTACTTGATCAATACTTGAAATAATATGGATTGGATGAAGGTAATAGAAAGATAATTTTATTGATGGTAAGAAAGTAAAGATCAAAATTTTTTCAAACTCTATGCAAGTGAGGAGTATAGTTGAGGCATGTTTTTACTTTTAAGATTACAACGTTGATATTCCAACTTGATTATAATTCTAACTTAACTAGAGTAAATTAAAGATAAAACTTAACTCTGATAATTACAAAAGATGGAACATCTTTTGACTACTTTTGACTTCTTGTTTTCTTTTTCAGTCATTATCTACTTTCTGTTTTCTTTGTAGGTCATCTTTCTTTTTTTTATCTGCTACTTTCGACTACTTTTTCTTTTATCAATAAGTTATTCTAAAATATTTAGATTGATAGTAGGGTCTTCATAATCTCTTTCTGAGATTCTTTTTTTTATCATAGCATTTACATTTGTGATTTACATATCCAGATAATACTTGACGGATCTTCTTTTTGGTGTTTTTTTGGATTTTTCATTTGATTACTTTTTATTTTTTCATACTATTGATTAAATTTTCAAACTAGTAAAGAGGGAATGAAATAACAACAAAATAAAAAAATTAAAGATATAGCCAACAAAGATAAAAAATAATAAAAAATGGAGAAAAATAGTTTAAAAAAAAAGAACACACAAAGAAGACAAATATGCAAAACAATAAAAAAAAAAAAAACAAAGCCAAAGTCAAAAGTTAAAAAGTACACTAAAGAAAATTAACTAGAGGTAGAAAAAACCAACTAAAGTCCTTCTAAAGTCAATAAAAAAACCAACCAAATTAGTTAATAAAATGAAAGAATTTATTATATTAATTCAAATCTCTACACTTGTTACTTTTCTATTATAAATTATGGAAAATTTTTATAATTTAAAGAAAATTTATATAATTATAATTTTAAAAAATTATTTACATTTTAAAAGTTTGAAAATTTATCCACAGCCTCTTTTTGAATTAAATTGAATAAATTTAAATTGATTTAAATAAACATTAATTTATTTCCTCATTTTAATGATTACCCCTTAGATGGGTAAGAATTATATACTTAGCCTTATATACTTAATATACTTACATTCAATCTAATCAAATTATGACAATTAGAATTTAATATGTAAATAATATTAATAACAAAAATTTATTATAGAATAAATAATATATAAAAGATCTACATTATGATTGTTAAACTTTCGAGTTGACTCTCTGAGTTTATCATTTTTACATTTCTGTCTCATAAATTTGTGTTAATTTACTCATAAACTCAGATTAGATGAAACTTAGTTAGACTTACGAGTTAACTATTCCATGTTTACTATTTTTACATTTTCGGATAATAAAATCATGTACACTTATTCATAAACTTAGACAAATGCAATCGACTAAACGTGCTAAACTTGTTGATTTTTAATTGATCAAATTAGATATATACTGTGTAGCACTTGCTTCATAGAAGAGGTAGAACACAATTAAAAGAAAAAAAATTAAAAATCAAAAAGAAAAAATAATATTAATAAAAAAACAACAAAAATAAATTGCCCTACTTCAAATTTTTTATATTGGGTATGATGATCTATCAATATATGTAAATTTAATGTCAATGATTTATATTTAAAATGTAATTAAATAAAATATGATCATATTTTATATTTTAATTATTTAACTATATATTTTTAATAATTATTTATTAATAAAAATAAATTCTTATAAGTTTACATTCGAACTTACAAATCAAGTTTACATCTTTATTATGAAATTATTTAAATTCATAATTTTGATAACCTTAATCCATATATCTTACTCCAATTAAAAACAAATAACGTCAAATATAAAATGTTAGGTGTCTTAGTTTTTTGACCATCATGGATATAGACTCATTATTTTTTTTATTGTAAACTATAAATAGATATGGAAAGGATAGATATTATTATCATAAAATAGAAAAAATGGAACATTTCGGCTACAAGATGGGATTGTCCGAGTCCACGACGACCTTTATTTTAATATCTTTATTTATTTATTTATTTATTTTGGCTGTGATGCGTCCAGCTGTCCACGGATGCGCGTAAGACGTGATGGCATTTGTGATTTGTTTGCGAGAGACGTGTCAGCAGCCAATTGTGACTGTCGATCTCTTCACCGCCTTGACGGTTTTCCTCTATAAATAGCGTTGATCACCTCTCGTTTGAGAATGTAGGTTGTGATGTAGGGCATCATGGTTGGGTGGCGAGTTTTTGTTCTGCTGCTTTTGGTAACCTAATGCTTAAATGGTCTAGGTTTTATTCTCTGTTTGATCTGTGGTGGTGGTTTTGCCTTTTGATATCCTGTGCAGATTGAGATATCTTTCAGAATGGATGATGGATAATTTTCGTTTTTCTCCTTTTGCGTCGTTTGGTTGAGTAACGTTTTGGCTTGGATTATGGTGGAAGAATTACGTTTTGAACTTCTGCTTATTCGATTGCCGTTTGCAGTTTGGAACACTTGGATTCTATGGGATTTTAAAGAAAATACTTTTCGTTCGTGGTGAATGGGAGATTGGAGCGGTGAACCGTGAACATAGGATATATGATTTGATATCTTCGATTTATCGTCTTAAATCCGTTAAATTGGTTTTGGCCTTTATGTGTTAAGTATTAAATTGGAACTTTGTTTGGGTGCAGTTGGGATAAGGACAGAGTTGTTTACAATATCGCTAAAGGTGGCATGGGATGTATGCAAGATTCGGTGATATCTCCCTTACCTTATATTTGTGAATATTTGTAAAGTCCATACTGTTTCGAGCATCAAGGTATTAGTGGGAAGGACTTGCTGGGAATTGGTAGTACTGGGAAGGACTTAATGATTATCATTTGTGTTTGTTCGTTCTCAAGGGTGGCATTGCGATGATCGGTGACGTTATTTTATCAGATTGTTTCTTTTGCGGGACTTATTGAATTGGTTATGCATCTTACATGGCATTTTTAACGGTTTCGCTAGCTGATGGTATATGACGATGTTTGACTGAGGTGTTGCATTGGGTTTTGCTTGGATTTTGCCGATGCTCTTAAAATATCACAGGGGCCTAGCACTTGGATTATTTTCTCTTTTCCCTTACAAGAGAGCTTTGGTGTCTGGAAATATTTGGCCTGTATCATATTATTAATGAATTTTTGTCCTCCATGGGTGACTAGAAGATTGTACTGGTGAAGTACTGAAGATAACATCTTTTCTTTTTTGTTTTATTTGGTTTTCGCTGATAGGTAGTTGAATGTATTGTAAACTTGTGTAAACTTGTATTATTTGAGCCGTGTTCTCAAAAGCTATGTAAAGATAGACATCTGTTCATACATGGACAATTTTTGTATTACAAGTGATGCTATGTCGAATAATCCCTAATTTGATTGTAGCTTTGTGGGCATTCCATGCACAATTTTTTTATTATTCTTGTTCTCTTCCGTTGTGGATCATTTGGCTTTAGTTATGCGCTTCCTTCTTAGTTTGCTAGTTCATTAAGATTCATTAATTATTAATTTATGCTTGTCTCACTAACTCCTGGGGGCTTGCGGCTTTAGCATTCAAAACTCAGTAACCTGGACTCGGCTGTGCTATTCTGGTTTTCTTTTGCAAAAGTCCGCAAATATAATTGTGAATTATATACTCAGTAGTAAAAGAGAATTCACTTTTTAATTTGGTTGCAGTAATTTTAGACACTGAGATTTCTGCATTTATTTGAAGGTTAATTGTCTTCATCACGTCTTATTATGTATCTGTTTGATATATACTAATACAGGTGTTTAATCGGAGATTTCTTCTTCTGCAACTGGTTAATAAAGTATTGGTTATTTTTTAATTGGCTATTTTTTTTTTAAAAGGGTTACCTCTCCCTATATAGCTACTTGATATCTTCTGTGAGCTTCCAAAAGTGATTCTAATTTTCTTGGTATCTCATCTAGGTTATCTTTCCATTAATTGGTGTTATCTGTGAGGGTGAAAGGAGCATGGCAATTTACTCCTCAGGTTCCTTTTAGGACCATTCTTTTTCTTCATTTCTTTTTTTCTTTTTTCTTTTTCTGTTTCTGTTCCTTATGTAAATTTCTTGAAATGTTCTTGGTGTTTTGATGACATCCCGTCTTATTGGATGTAGCAATTGTGTGTGTGTGTGTGTGTTTTTTTTTTTTTTTTTTGTGGGGGGGGGGGGTCCTGCAATTTTCGTTGCATTGTAGGCTTTCAAGTTTTGAAGAAGGAAAGGCTAGCCAGTGAAGATTAAGGTAGTCTTGGGGAGTTTCTTATATTATCTTGGTTTGATATTCAGGTATTTAATTGGAGGCTTGTTGTGGTGTAGTGGTTAACAAAGATCCCTCTTAGACTTTTGAGTCTTTTTCTGCATTTCAGTTATTTTCTATCCCTTCTTTCTTTTGTAAATTCCTTGAATTATTCTCTGGATTTTGGTACTTTGTAAGGTAAGTGCTCTAGGGTCTGCATTTTGGAGAAGGGGAGGCTTGACGATGAAACCTGAAGTTGGTAGTCTTAGGATTTTCAAACTCTGGGTTTGACATTTTGATGTCTAACTGGAGAGATATTTTGGTGCAGCTGTTTGACTAGTATTTCAATAACATGATGATGTGTTCCGCAAAAAAATTGGTTCTCTTCCTCTCTTCATGCTTGTATTGGATATGAAAGTGATTCTTTACATTTTGGATTACTCATTCAACAATTTTTGCTTCTAATTTGTGTTCTCAGGGCAAGAATGGAAGTAGTTTTCCTCTGGCTTTGGCATTCATACCTTTCCCTAGAATGTGACTCTACTTGATATTTTGGTTTTCTTTTGTGAATCTCTGCAAATATAATATGCAATTTTATAGCCAGTATTCAAAGATTTCCTCCTTGATTTCCCTCTGGCAATTTTGGATAGGGAGATGAAGGTTATTGATCTTCATTGTTTCTTAATATTGTTTTGGTTTTATTTGTAGGTGTTTGATTGGGTGCTTGTTAAGTTGTTATGAAGAACTAAAAAACCAGAATTGTTTTAAGAATATAAAAACAGAAAACAGGACCAAACAATCCCTTGGTTTCCCATCCAAGATGTCTCACCTGTAATTGGTATTTTAGGTTTTGGGTTTCCCCCTAATTTCAAATGCCGGTTTACATTTTGATATCTAGGTGTTTACTTGGAGGCTAGTTTTGTTGCAGCTTCTTTTAGATAAGACTGTGTTTCATAGTGTCTCATCCTGAATGTATGGCCTTTCAATGTTTTGTTTTGTTTCTTTTTTTTTTATGTTTTTTTTTTTTTGCTTAGGTAAAAGGAACATGGCTTTTCTTTTCCTGGATTTGTTTAGGTGTAAGAAGGTGACTCCATTGTGAAGGGTTATTTGCTCTCCGACAGCTCCTTTTAGATTTTGAGCTTTTTTATATGTCCATTATTTTTGTGTGACTTGATATCCGTGTGGTTTAATGGGTGGTTTTTTTCTGCAGTTTGTCAACAATATTTCTCAATAAGTTGGCTGGATTTTCACCAAAAAAAAAAATTGGTTGCATCTACTTGCTTATAATTTTTTTCCTGTACCCTTTTGAATATGAATATACATATCATGATGTCTTCGCCAAAATGTATAGCCTTTAAATTTTTTATTTTTAATACTTTGGTGAAAAGACCACCACTTTTTCGCTGGGTTCTTTTGGTTCAGTGGATGTGATTCCACCAAGAAGTGTCATTCATTGCAGAATTTTTTCCCGTTTTCAATTGTATTGGTTTGACTATTAGTATCTAGGTCTTTAATTTGTTGATTTTTTTTTTGTTGCAGCTGTTTACAATGGGTCTTGATAAGTTGCTCGGAAGTTTCATGAAAATATTTGGTTCAATCTTTCTACTTATGCCTTTTCTGCTATATATTTTTTGAAGTTATTATTTCTTTCATAGTGTTTCATTGAAAATGTATTGCCTTTAAGTGGAGGCTTTTTGACATAAGTGAAAAGAGCATGGCTTTCCTTTCCCTGTGTTCGTTTGGGTGAAAGAAAGTGATTCCACTTAGGAGGTTTATTCTTTCCCCGATGGTTCCTTTTTGATTTTGACATCTGATTTCCCCCCTAATTTCAAGTTCAATTGTTTTGTTTGACTTTTGAAGTTGAGGTGATTAATTGGCGAATTATTTTATTCTAGCTGGTTCCTAGAGTTGCACCAAAAAAAAAAAAAATTGGTTCCATCTCCTGCTTATGATTTTTTAACTCTGCATATTTTTGAAAATTACTGAGCTTCATGGTGTCTCATCCAGAAGTACGGCTTAATTGCAGATTTTATGACAGGTGAGATGAGATGAGCATCTCTTTTCTTTTGCCTGGTTCTTTTGTGGAAAGGAATTGATGCCACTTAGAAGGGCTATTTATTCATCAACAGCATATTGTTTTCTTTCCTTGGTTAACATGTATTTATAAGTGCCTTGATTTTCACAAAAAAATTGGTTACATCTTCCTCCTTAATTGTACTTGGAGTTTTTTGTCTTAGGTAAAAAGAGCATGGCTTTTCATTTCCTGTGTTCTTTTAGGTGAAAGTAACTAACTGATTGCATTGAAGGTTTATTAATTCCCCAACAGCTCCTTTTAGATGCCAAGTTTCTTTTTTCATTTTGTTTCCCTCAATTTCAGTTGTTTTGGTTTGACTTTTGATATCTTGGTGTTCAATTTGTGGCTTGTTTTTGCGGCCAGCTAACAGCCTTAATAAGTTTGCTGGGCACCCAACCTTTGGTTGAAATATTTTCCCCTACAGCTCCTTTTAGATTGAACTTTTTCTTTTTTATAATTTCGGTTGTTTTGGTTTGACTTTTGGTATTGTGGTGTTTAATTTGAGGTTTATTTTGTTCCAGTTGGTGAATAATCTGTGGTGATAAGCGGCCTAGATTTTTACAAAAAAATTGGTTACATCTTCCTGCTTATCCTTTTTCTTCTATGCATTCTTGGAAATTATTCTGCAGTCCGTAGTGTCTCAACTAGAATGTATGCCCCTTAATTAAAATTATCCTTTTTAGCTATTCAATTTGTTTTGGTTTGACGCTTGGTATCTTGGAGCTTAGTATGTGGCTTATTTTGTTGCAGCTTGTTAGGAGTCTCTATAGTTGTCTAGAGTTTCACGAACAGTCTGTCCTTGTTCCTTTTCTTCTAAAAGTCTTTTGACACTATTTCATACTGCGTTTTTTGATATAGGTGAAGAGATTGTGGCTTTTCTTTTCCGTGGGTTGGTGTGAGTGAAAGGAAGTGATTCCACGTAAGAGGTTTATTTATTCCTGAATGGTTCATTTTCGATTTTGAGATCTGATTTCCCCCTGATTTCAATTTCAATTGTTATGGTTAGACCTTATATGTTGGTGTTTAATTGGAGGCTTATTTTGTTGCAGCTACTGTCCAATGTGTCTCGACAAATTATTATTACATTCTGAGAAAAATTTGGTTACGTCTTTCTTATGCCTTTCCTTCTCTACACTTTTGGAAATGATTTCGTTTCATAGTGTCTTATCCTGAGTGTATGGCCTTCAATTGTTGATTTCGGGCTTAGGTGAGAAGAATTTGACTTTTTTCCCCTGGATTCATTTAGGTGCATAAGAAAGTAACTCCACTACGAAGAGTTGTTCATTCCCCAACAACTCCTTTTAGATTTTAAGATTTTTTTTATTTCAATTATTTTGGTGCAACTTTTGATTTCTTTGCATTTAATTGGTGGCCTGGCTTATTCTTCTGCAGCTGGTTAACAATATGTCCCGATAAGTTGCCTAGTCTTTCACGAGCAAATTGGTTACATCTACCTGCTTATGCCTTTTCTTCTGTATCCTTTTGGATATATGATTATATATATCATAATGTCTCAACAAAAGTGTATAGCCTTTAATTTGTGGGTTTTTTTTTTTGCCTGACATAGGTGAAGAGAGCACCGCTTTTCATTTGCTGGGTTCTTTTGGTTCAATGGAAGTGATTCCACCGAGAAGTGTCATTCATTCCAGAATAGTTTTTCTTTATTTCATTTTCAATGTTGTTGTTTTGACTATTGGTATCTTGATTTTTAATTTGTGGCTTATCTTGTTGCAGCTGGTTAACAATGGGTATTGATAAGTTTCCCTGGAGTTTCACAAAAAACTTGGTTCCCTCCTACTGCTCATGCCTTTTTTTTTTGCTATACATGTTTTGAAACTATTCTTTCTATCATGGTGTTTCATCAAGAATGTATAAGCTTTAAGTGGAGTTCCTTCGACATAGGTGAAAAGAACGTGGCTTTTCTTTCCCTATTCTTTCCTTGTGTTCGTTTGGGTGAAAGAAAATGATTTCACTTAGGAGGTGTGCTCATTCCCCAATGGTTCTATTTCTATTTCAAGATTTGATTTTTCCCTCGGCTTATTTTGTTGAATCTTGTTTTCTACGTGTCTCAATAAGTTGCTTTGAGTTGCATAAAAAATTTGGTTACGTCTATTGGTGATGCTTTTTATTCTGAAAATTTTTTGAAACGACTGTGCTACATAGTGTCTGATCTGTAATGTATTGCTTAAGTGGAGATTTTTTGACATTGGTGACATGAGCATCTCTTTTCTTTAGCTGTCTTCCTTGGGTATAAAGGAATTGATGCCACTTTGAAGGGTACTTGCTCCTTAAGAGCATCTTTTTCTTCCATTGGTTAACATGTATTGATAGGTTGCCTTGATTTTCCCAAAAAAATTGGTTACATGTTCCTGCTTATGCTTTGGTCTACACATTCTGGAAAATTATTCTACGTTCCATAGTGTCTTATCTAGAATACATGCCCTTTAATTTTAGCCTTCTGACTAAGAGCATGGCTTTTCATTCCCTGCATTCTTTTGGGCTAAAGGAAGTGAGTGCACTGGAGGGTTAGTCATTCTCCAACAGCTCCATTTAGATGCTGAGCTTCTTTTTTTTTTTTTTGCTATTTAATTTTTTTGGCTTGACATTGGGTATCTTGGTGTTTAATATGTGGCTTATTTTGTTGCAGCTTGTTAGGTGTCTCAATGAGTTACCTAGAGTTACACAAATAGTTTGTCTTTCTTGTGCATTTTCTTTTATGGGCGTCTTGATTTTTTTCTATAAGCCTTTTAACAGTATCCTGTCTTACATAATGTGTTTTGTCCCGAATTTGTGCCCTTTATTTAGAGTTCTTTGACTTAGGTGACTGGGTTCTTTGGGTGAAAGAAAGTGATTCATTCCCCAAGGGTTCATTTTCAACTTTGAGATTTGATTTTTGTGATTATAATATTCTGAAAAAAAATTGGTTACATCTTCTTGCTTATCCCTTTCTTTCTCTATATGTTTGGAAATGACAGTTTCATAGTGTTTCGTCCTGCGTTTATGGCCTTCAATTGTTGATTTTGGGCTTTAGGTGATAAGAACATGGCTTTTCTTTCCCTGGATTCGTTTAGGTGCATATGAAAGTAACTCCTCTGTGAAGGGTAATTCATTCCCTCAAAAATCCTTTTTGATTTTACGCTTTTTATTTCAATTATTTGGGTGTGACTTTTGATGTCTTTGTGTTATCTCTTCTTTTGCAGCTGTTTAACGTCTTGTTAAGTTGCCTAATCTTGCACAAAATAATTGGTTTCATCCACCTGCTTTTGCGTTTTCTTCTCTACCATTTTGGATGTATGATTATATCTATATCATAATGACTCAACCAAAATTTATAGTCCTTTATTTGAGTTATAGCTGCTTAACAATATGTCTTGACATGTTGCTTGAAAGTTTCACGAAAAAATGTGGTTCAATTTTACTACTTCTGCCTATTTGCAGTTTATTTTTTGATATTATTCTTTCTTTCATAGTGTTCCATTGAGAATGTATGGCCTGTAATTGTAGGCTTTTGATCTAGCGTGGGTTTTCTTTTCCTTGGTTGGTGTGGGTGAAAGAAAGCGATTCTTTTCTTTTCCTTGGTTGGTGTGGGTGAAAGAAAGCGATTCATTCCCCACATGTTCATTTTTGATTTTGAGATCTGATAGCGAGGTTTGACTGCTTTAAATGTTAGTGTTTAATTGTAGACTTATTTTGTTGCAGCTGCTTTCAAATGTGTTTCGACAAGTTATTATTACGTTCTGAAGTATTGGCTTAGTGTCTCATTGTGAATATATGGCCTGCAATTGTTTTATTTTGGGCTTAGGTGAGCAGAACATGGCTCTTCTTTCCCTGGATTTGGTGAAAGTAACTTCACTTCCAGGGGTTATTCATTCCCCAACAACTCTTATTTTGATTTTAAGCTTTCTTTTTTAATTTCAATTATTTTCCTCCGACTATGGATTTTTCTTTGCATTTAATTGGTGGCTTGGTTTATACTTCTGCAGCAGGTTGACAACTTGTCCTGATAAGTTGCCAAGTCTTTCACCCAAAAATTGGTTACTTCTATCTACTTATGCTTTTTTTTTCTGTACCCTTTTGGAAATATGATTATATAAGTGATCATGACTCAACCAAAATGTATATCTTCAAATTTAGGTTATTTTTTCCTGACTTTGGTGAAAAGAGCATCACTTTTCATTTGCTGACTGAGTGTTTTTCTTAGTTTGCATTTTTAATTGTATTGTCTTGGCTATTGGTATCTATGTTTTTAATTTCTTGCTTATTTTGTTGCAGCTGCTTAAAAATGTGTCTTGATAAATTGCTTGAAAGTTTCGCAAAAAAAATTTGGTTCAATCTGCATTTTTGAAAATGATTGTTTCATAGTCTCATCATATAGGGTTACATCTTTTTGCTTATGCCTTTTCTTCTCTACACTTTTGGAAATGATTGTGTTTCATAGTGTCTCATCGTGAATGTATGGCCTTCAATTGTTGATTTTTGGCTTAGGTGAGAAGAACATGGTTTTTATTTCCGTGGATTTGTCTAGGTGCATTAGAAAGTAACTTCACAACTGAGGGTTATTCATTCCTCAAACAACTCCTTTTTGATTTTAAGTTTTTTCTTATTTCAATTATTTTGGTGCGACAATTGATTTTTATTTGCATTTAATTGGTGGCTTGGCTTATTCTGCAGCAGGTTGACAACTTGTCCCGATGAGTTGCCAATCTTTCAAAAAAAAAAAAAAGGGTACGTCTACCTGCTTATGCTTTTTCTTCTGTGCTCCTTTGGATATATAATTATATAAATCATTCTCACTCATCCAAAATGTATATTCTTCAACTTTAGGTTATTTTTTCCTGACTTAGGTCTAAGGAGCACTGCTTTTCATTTGCTGTGTCCTTTTAGTTCAGTGCAAGTGATTCCTCCAACATGCAACTATTTCATTCCAAAAGGGATTGAGTGTTTTGTTTTGTTTTTTTTTTTCAATTGTTATTATTATTTTTTTTTTTTGCATTGGCTTGGCTATTGATATCTATGTTTTTGATTTCTTGCTTATTTTGTTACAGCTCCGAAAAATTTGTCTTGATAAGTTGCTTGAAAGTGTCTCAAAAAAAAAAACAAAAATAAAATTGGTGTAATCTTTACTACTTGTGCCTTTTCTGCTTTATATTTTTTGAGATTATTCTTTCTATCATAGTGTTTCATCGAGAATGGATGGGCCTTTAACTTGAGTTTTTTGACTTAGGTGAAAAGGGTATGGGGCTTTTCTTACCCTGGAATGGTATGGGTGAAAGAAAATGATTCATTTGAAGCAGTTCGTTTTCGATTCTGAGATTTTATTTTTGTTCCCTGATTTAGTTTGTATTGTTGTTGTTTGACTTTTGTGAAATGTCGGTATTTAATTGTATGCTTATTTTGTTGCAGCTGTTTGCCAATGTGTCTCCGCAAGTTATTATCACAGTGTAAAAATTTGGGTTGCATCTTCTTGCTTATGCCTTTGCTTCTCTGCAGTTTTGGAAATGATTGTTTCATAGTCTCATCAAATTGGGTTACAGATTCTTGCTTATGCCTTTTCTTCTCTACACTTTTGGAAATGATTGTGTTTCTTAGTGGTCTCATCATGGATGTATGGCCTTCAATTTTTGATTTTTGGTATAGGGTTGAAAGAACATGGCTTTTTGTTTCCCTTGATTCTTCTAGGTGCATAAGAAAGTAACTTCACTACCAAGGATTATTCATTCCTCAACTACTCCTTTTTGATTCTAAGCTTTTTTTTTTTTTTTTTGTTTCAATTGTTTTGGTGCGACTGTTGATTTTTATTCACGTTTAATTGGTGGGTTGGCTTAGTCTTCTGCAGCAGGTTGACAACTTGCCCCGATAAGTTGCCAAGTCTTTCCCAAAAAAAAAAATGGTTACATCTACTTGCTTATGCTTTTTCTTCTGTACCCCTTTGGATATATGATTATATAAATCATACTGACTCAACCAAAATGTATATCCTTTAATTTTTGGTTTTTTTTTTCCTGACTTAGGTTCAAAGAGCACCACTTTTCAATCGCTTTGTCCTTTTGGTTCAGTGCAAGTGATTCCTCCAACAAGCGACTTATTCTTCCAAAATAGATTGGGTGTTTTTTTTTTTATTTCTTATTATTTTTTTTGCATTTTTAATTTCATTGGCTTGCCTATTGGTATCTATGTTTTTAATTTCTTGCTTATTTTGTTGCAGCTTCTAAACAATGTGTCTTGATAGGTTGCTCGAAAATCTCGCAAAAAAAATTTGTTTCAATGTTTACTACTTGTGCCTTTTCTGCTATATATTTTTTGAGAATATTCTTTCTTTCATAGTGTTTCATTGAGAATGGATGGGCTTTTTACTTGAGTTTTTTGACTTAGGTGAAAAGGGTGTGGCTTTTCTTCCCCTGTAATGGTGTGGGTGAAAGAAAATGATTCATTCGAAGCAATTCATTTTCTATTTTGAGATCTGACTTTGTTCCTCGACTTTAAGTTTGTATTGGTGTTGTTTGACTTTTGTGAAATATTAGTGTTTAATTGTATGCTTATTTTGTTGCAGCTGCTTTCCAATGGGTGTCCACAAGTTATCATCACGTTCTGAAAACTTGGGTTGCATCTTCTTGCTTATGCCTTTACTTCTCTGCAGTTTTGGAAATGGTTGTTTCATAGTCTCATCAAATTGGGTTACATCTTCTGGCTTATGCTTTTTCTTCTCTACTCTTTTGGAAATGATTGTGTTTGATAGTGTCTCATCGTGAATGCATGGCCTTCAATTGTTGATTTTTGGCTTAGGTGGGAAGAACATGGTTTTTATTTCCCTGGATTCGACTAGGTGCATTAGAAAGTAACTTCACTGCCGAGGGTTATTCTTTCCTCAACAACTCCTTTTTGATTTTAAGCTTTTTCTTATTTCAATTATTTTGGTACGACAATTGATTTTTATTTGCATTTAATTGGTGGCTTGGCTTATTCTTCTGTAGTGGGTTGACAGCTTGTCCTGATAAGTTGCCATTTAAAAAACAAAATTGGTTACATCTACCTGCTCATGCATTTTCTTCTGTATCCTTTTGGATATATGATTCTATAAACCATACAGACTCAATCAAAAGTATATCCTTTAATTTTAGGTTATTTTTTCCTGACTTAGGTCTAAAGAGCACCACTTTTATAATAATTACAACGGAAAAGGTATGTGTGTGAGACATAATTAATCTATTAATTGATCTATTTCATTTAACTTCTATAAATATATCATATGTATCATAGTTTCATCTCATAATTCTTCGGATGCTAATAAAATTATTCTAGTGAAATTTAACTATCTCAATTCTTAAGTGACTGCACTAAAAATTCTTTTGGATTTTTTTCTTGATCAATGACAACTATAGCATTATCATCATATTGTATTATCATAGTGTTGTTACATTTGAGTTCTTTATAAGTATGTACAATTACAGCTTTGATCACTTCTAATCTTTCTAAAGGTGTAATTAGTGAGCTCCCTTGATTATGGCAACAATAACGTCACCAATATAGGCATATCATCGATTTATAGTTCCTATGATTCAAATATACATCAATTTACGGGCCTTGTTTTTATTAGCCACATTCAAATAGGTTTGAGGTTGAATTACATCATTTTTTTCCTCTGTTCCTTCAGTGCAAAGGGTGAAGGAAAAAAAGAGAGAGATTGTGTAAAAAAAAAAAAACTTACAATTGCAATTGTTTTTTTAACCCTAACAACCTCTTTCCTTTGGTTCTAATTGTTATGTTGAAATAATGAATTGAGTTTGTGTAGGCATTTTTGATGTTGCTATTGCAATAACTAGCTATAGTTTTTGTGACTCTGCCTATTTCATAAAATATTCTACCTAGTTTAATGACAGCTATCCAATATTTGAGAGATGCTTTTCTTGACCCCATACATGTTTTTGTAAGTCTTATTGTAATTGGCTTGTTTAAAAATATGCATACCTATATTTTTCCACCGTGGTGGGCATTTTATGACATTGCTCATCGCTTTGCTTTTATTTGTCTAGATGTGATGCAAGTAGGTTCAAGTGCTTGAAGAGCATATCTATTGAAACAAATATGATTACCTCTAAAGGATATTTATTTCATTCTTCATCTATGTTGTTTATAGAATTTGGTTTTTTAAGGTTATAGTTGATGGTTTTTTCTCCAATCCATCTTTACTACAGAATTATACATGAGATTTTCACCTCATACAGCTCCTCACGAATCTATATTCTATATCAATTTGGATCCTTTGTGAACAGTAAATGAATAGTGACACCTACGTGAGTTGCTTTTTTTACTTTTTTTTCAATCATCAAATTAAATCTTCTTATAAAACTGAGTCATAGGTCACGTGGACTATTCCAGAAGTTCACTGTTGCCATTTTTATGGCTTTGTTTTCCTTTACAAAGTTCAAACTTCAAAGCCCTTCATTATCCATTCTTTTCTCTTCAATTTCTCTCTACTTAGTGTGTGTGTGTGATTGTGAAGCGTAGAGAGAGTGGTAGTGTAATGTTGTACTTCTTATTGGACATGTAGAGTCTTTCGTATTTTGCTCTTCGCCTGCAATACTTTCTACAGCCAGTCTTTGCAAGTTTTTTGATCCTTAGAGGAAACGATTTTTTCTATCTGCAGGTAATCTTGCTCCCTGGTTTTAGGGTTCTGGTTATTAGTTTTGTTTTTTTTTCAAAGATTTATTTATTTTGCATATGATTATGCTGTCTTAGAGTCATGTTTTAGTAGTTCTCTCGACAAGTTTGTGGTAGTGTTTATCAATGACATTATAATCTATCAAGAGATGAAGAGGAACACGCAAAGCATCTTTATACTATTTTGCAACATTTAAAGGACAACAAGTTGTATGTCAAGCTCAACAAATATGAGTATTGGTTGAGATAAGTGAGATTTCTTACCCATGTTGTGTCAGCAGACAGGATTGCCATGAATCTGCATAAAGTGGATGTTATTTTGAAATGGGAAGCGCCTACCTCAGTAATAGAGGTAAGAAGTTTTTTAGGATTGGCCAGATATTATCATTACCTCATTTAAGGGTTTTTGCAGATTGTGTCCCTGTTGACCAAGTTAACTCGAAAGGATTAACCGTATGTATGGACCGACATGTGTGAATCGGCGTTTCAAGAGTTGAAGAGGAAACTAACGTCTGCTCTAGCGTTGATCATTCCTAACCCTCCTTTACCATATGTGGTATACACAGATGCATCATTAAAGGGATTAGGGTGTGTTCTAATGCAAGATGAACAAGTTGTTGCTTATGCCTCAGACAATTGAGACTGCATGAAGAAAAGTACTCGATGCATGATTTAGAGCTGGCACTAGAGGTCTTTGCCTTGAAGATTTGGCAACACTACTTGTATGGTTTAGTATTTAGGGTATTTAGTGATCATAAGAGTTTGAAGTGTTTGGTGGACTAAAAAGAATTGAAGATGAGGCAATGCATATGGATGAAGTTTCTCAAAGACTATAATTTTGAGATCAAGTACCATTCAGGTAACGTCAATGTAGTGGTTGATGCACTAATTCAAAAAACGGTACATGGCGCTCACATGATGATGTAGAGCATTGACTACTTGAGACTTTCTTAGAAACTCAGAGGAAAGCACTGCAGATGACGTTATGTAATGTGCACTCTACAGTGGTAACTAATGAATTCTAGAAAGAATTGTAGGCTACTTAGGTTGAGGACAAATACTTGTTGGGAATTTGTGAGGATGTTAAAGAGAGGAGAATCACAGAGTTTGAATTCAATGATAAAGGTTATGTGACTTATCAAGACTAGATTTTTGTACTGAATGATGAGGACTTCAGAAAGATGATCTTGGAGGAAGCACATCGTAGTGAGTACATGATTCACCCAGGTGCCACCAAGACGTATCAGGATATGAATTAAATGTAGTGGTGGCTAGGAATAAAGAATGATGTGGCAGAGTTTGTGGCTTGATGTCTGACATGCCAAAGCATCAAGATTGAGCACCAGAGGCCTATTGGTGTGTTACACTCACTTAAGATTCTTTAGTGGAAATGTGACATCATATCTATGCACTTTATCATTAGTTTTCCTAAAACTCAAGCAGGTTGTGATGCAATATGGGTGATTATAGATCACCTGACTAAGCCAGTGCATTTCTTGGCAGTAAAGATGACATATTCGCTGGAAAAATATGCTGAGGTTTATGTAAATGAGATAGTGAGGCTTTATAGGGTATCGAAGGATATTATCTTTGACCATGATCTGAGGCTCACATTGAACTTTTAGAGAGTGTTGCAGAGGGCAATGGGCACCAGATTGAGGTTCAGTATGGCCTATCATCTACTGACGGACGGCCATACTAAAAGGACCATTCAAATAGTAGAGGATATGTTGTGAGCCTGTGTGCTAGAATTGAGGGTTAGTAGGGACACTCATCTACCTTTAGCAAGGTTTGCCTACAACAACAATTATCACTCTAGTATTAAAATGGCTTTGTATAAAGCATTGTATGGAAGAAAGTATCGATCACTTCTATGTTCGATGGAGTTGAGCAAGAGGAGTTTGTTGGGTTTAGATTTGGTAAACCAAATCACTTAAAACATTTAATTGATTAAGCAAAAGTTGTTGATAGCTTAAAGTCGATAAAAGAGCCATAATGATCAACGTAGGAGGTCATTGGAATTCTTAGTGGGTGACCATGTGTTCTTGAGGGTCACACCGATGATTGACATTAGGAGATCAATAAAAGCTAAGAACTTGGCTCCTAGGTTTATTGATCCCTTTGAAATTTTAGAGAAGTTGTGACTTGTGGCTTATAGGATTGCCTTGCTGTTGAGTTTGTTAGGTATTCATGATGTTTTCCATATGAGCTAGTTGAAGAAGTATTACTTGGATCCTTCTCACATTATTGAGTCGGAAGATGTGGAATTGCAAGAAAGTTTGACCTATCGAGCTGAACCAGAGTAGATTGTGGATGTAAAAGATTGATAATTGAGAAATAAGACTATCTGTTTGGTTAAAGTCTTTTAGAAAGGCATGACTCCTTGTGACACAACTTGGGAAACCGAGGGCAAGATAAGACAATTGTATCCACATTTATTCTCACATGTATGTGATTAAATGAGATCTTGAATTTTGAGGGAAAAATTTCTAAAAGGAGGGGAGAATTGTAACATCTTATATTTTTGTTCTAGAAATTTTCAATATTTATAAGAGTATTTTGGTCAAATTAGATAAATTATTTGTTTGACGATGTTCTTGAGAGGCTAATATAGCTAATGGATTATTGGCCAGCCTTTGAAGAGGGTTATATTGGAGTTCGAGATGGTCATGGCACAAAAGGAGATTTAAATCATGGAACGCCACGATAGTTGAGCCAATGTGTCGAGGTGTATGTGCAATATTTGCACGTATCAATTTGCAAAATCAGACTGAAACTTAGAAGAGGGAAAGAGAGAATGCAAAGAGGTGACAAGTAGCAACCTGTGGGTGCTAAGGCTTGACCTTGGGATCACTTTGGAAGCATTTGGAGTAAGATTTAGCTTTGAGTAAATTTCTTACACCTCTCCCTCTCCCTTTATGCAAATTTTCTGAGGATTAAGGTATTGTAAGGCTGTGATTTCATATTTTCTTAGGTAATGGCTAAACCCACTAGCTTAGTTAAGGTTTTGGGGAGTAAAACTAAACTTTTAAACCTAGATTTATTGATTATATAATGATTTGGAGTTTTTGGCTATGGGTTGGATGAACCTTAAGTAAGAATGGGAAGATTGAGAACCATGTGGGTAATGTAATGGTGTCATTTATGTGTTTGAATGCTAAATAGAATTAATGGAGTGTGTTGGAAGAGTTGTTAAGGCTAAATCAAGGTTTTGGGTATGATGGGTATCCAAATTTATGTTATAAATGGGGTAATTAGTGTGTGAATTGATAATTAAAAGTTTAATCTTGTAGATTAACCTTTAATCAAGCATTGTGGTGCTAGTAGACATGTGTGGAGCCATTGTTCACCACGGTAACCCTTTTAGTGATAAAAGAGTTGAGGTAACTAAATTGCCTAAACTTTCTATTTGAGTGTTTGGATGGTTATGTGTCTATTTGTAAAGTTAATACTCTTGCTTTGTACTAGTATAGTGTTATTATGAAATGATTATGACTTAGAAACTCTATGTGAAGTGGAATGACAGCTTATGTTTTAGTGTTGTAGTTTTGGAAGGCTAAATGCTATTTTAAGTACAATTACTTGAAAACTCCTATAATTTTAATAGAAATGAACCCTTTAATAGAAATTATCTGTCATGGCTATGTGTGAAAATCTTTGAGCATGTTTGGCATTATTGTTGTGAGAGGGTGGTTTTGGGGACATTGTTTGGATGTCCTAATACTATGAGGGGTAGATTGGGCATCAACACCCCTAGTATTCGTGGGTAGGGGGAGTCTATGGTCCATAGTGAGTAAAGGCACCCTTGGTTGGGGCTACCTTCTACTAATGGTGAGTTTGGGCTAATCCTATCACATGAACTTGATCCTATCGAGTTGTCAGCCTGCAGACTTAGTTGAAAGATATAAGGAGGGTATAAGGTGGTGTATGAATCATGCATATCATAATATCTCTATATGTGTGGATAAATGACTTGATATGTATTCATAATGTCTCTTCACATATGCACTATCTGTTTTCACACACGAGTAGTTTGATTAGACTATTTGGTTATTAAGTCTTTAACTCACCCTGTGGTTACATTTTACAGGTGAAGGCTCCAATGGAGGCAAAGGAAAGAAAGGTGCGACCGAGCATCAAGGGGACTATCCAGTAATTATATAGTCCTTCTCATCTATTTGGTTGTATAACGAATTGTATATGCATATGCTAACTTAAGAATCATATATACTATTTTGTGTCACACTTGCATGATTTATGTTATAAACTATGGGTGGGATGTTGTATTATTGTTGTAATGGCTGTGAGAGGTCAATATACTAGTGTAAATATTAGTTTTGTATTGGTACAATGTTTGTTTGGCTATTTAAAAGATGATTGTATGTTTTACTCCTTGTGGAATTTATGTTAAATGGAGGGTTTTGGTGGTAAATTTTGTTTGGACTGTTGTTGTTGTGATTGGAATGCATGTATAGATTGTTTGTGGTCCATTGGAGTTGGTTCAAGTAGTTCTATGGTTATTAGTGCGTGGTATATAAGTTTAGACACCTTTATGGAGTTTTGGAAAGAAAATGTATTATTTTAGGTTTAGGTGTTCAAATTTCATTTGGTTTGGTATTTGGGTGTGAGATTGGTGCCATGGTTCTAAGAGCTATGTGTGGATACTTGAATCACTCGAATTGGACATCGGATAAAAAAATGGCACGCTTTGAATGTTCGTATAAAGAGTTGTCATGACAATGGACGCGTGATGTGCTGCATTGACCATTATACTGTGGCACGAGGCAGAGAAAGGGATGTTTTCCTCTATGCAATTCGCCGTGGTGCACATTGTTTTTTGTGGGTAAATTTTTCAAATTATTTAATATGTTTTATGTGATGACTCTTGCTTTCGTTATCTTGTTTAATTGGTTTTAAATTATTATTTGAGTTCAAACGATCCTTTAAAAGGATTTTATTAGGATCCCAATTTTTTAAACTTTTCTAACGCTTGAATTATGATAGCCTCTTATAAGGGATTTAAATATATTAGTTATCATAATGGTGTTCTGTGTGTTTGGTAATGTTAAGGATGACGTTACACAAGGTGTTGGAGTTAGTTGTCATTTGCTAAACAAAAAGAAAGTATGTGGCGTGTTTGACTTGAAGGGAGGGTGAGGGTTTCTCCGTGCCAACGTGATTGGGAAGAAGCAGCATAGCAAAGATTAGATGTTCATCACCAAATAGGGTAGGAGGTGAAATAAGTGAGGACAGAAAATTCAAAGATTATCATTGAGAGCTCTTGTAAGTGTGTTGACCTTCCTCTATTACTTTTTTACATTCCATCATAACTCTTGTGATAGTTAGTCTAAATCCTGTTAATTTGTGCCGCCCTTATCTATTTCATCACTTTTCCATTTTGGAAAATGTTTATCCCTATTTCTTTTCCCATTTAAAATTTAAAATCCCATGTTTGTTAGTCTTAGCTTGATGATGGATGCTTATGCAAGCTCTTGAATCGAGAAGGATGAAGATACTTATGTTAGCCAAATTGAGAGGTCATGTTATTAATTTCTTCTCTTAATTTTTTTTTATGCAAGTTGGAGCAAAACTATTATAAGTTTGATTATTGTTAGAAGAATAGAGCTCTTTCTTTTTAGGAGAAATTGACAGAATTAAAGGAGGAGTATACATATAGCAAAAACTTTGAGGTAAATCTGGTAGTAGTCAAGTTGATGACAGATAACATGATAGGAAGAGTTCATCTCAATAGCAACTAAATCAGTTGATATTGATAAAATCATGAAGTCCCTAATTATGTTGAAATTGATATTGAGCTAATTAAGTTGTTCATATTAATAGCAACAGCAACTTCATATCTATCCCTGCTTCAACTTATTTCATACATCTCATTTTTGTTGATAGAACTCTAGACTAATTTGTGCATTCGCAATGCTTAATTTGTTACTTTCTTTTTTATTGATTTTGTTTGGCTCAATCTTTATGCTTTCTTTGTACTGTTGCTTTAGTATTTGGAACAATTAAATGAAAAAAGTTAAAGTTGGCCTCTGATAGGTTATATTTGTTATACACTTTTATTTCACATTTAAGATCACATTTCATAATAGGAAACCCTAAAATATACATTCTTAGTGTTAAACTAGGGTTTTAGCCCTAGTGAGAAAATATGTATAATAAGAGTATTTTAGTCATTTTGCACTTTGTTGGGAATTCAAGAAAAAATTTAGAATTTGATGTGTGCATTAGTTTTAGGTCTATTTGGGTTGAAATATTTGGTCTTAAAGGTTGCATTTGGACTTAGGGTTGAAAAGTCAACATTTTAGCTTGACTTGCCAATTTGGCTTGTCTGACTTTATTCGCATGCATGCATGGCCACCTTAATTTTCTCATGTGTGTTTGTAAAGTTTTGAATGATTTTTAAAAATATATGCAAAAAGATATTAAGGTTTGAATATTTTGATAATTATCACATGTGCAAAATAACCTAGTTAAATTTCATGTTGTTTTCATAGGTGACACTTTACATGGAAGAAGTTTTAGTTGAAGACTTGGTTTGGCACATAGGGGAGCTTGAGCACGAAATTTCAGACCTGAATGGGCTTCAACATTGTGTGATTTATCAAGGCTAATGAGGCATACAAGAGGTTTCTATGCACTTGCACAAAAGGGATCAAGTTGACTTGTTAAAGTTCAAGATAATTGCAATGTGTTTGAGAAGCTTTGAAGACAATTCCTGATCTGATTTGAGCATGGTTTGGACATTATTTTCAAGGTGTTTAAGGGGAACACAAGTGCTTAACATGTCCATGCACATATAAGATTAGAAGAGCAACATTGAAATTATCACCCAAGTTGACTTGCAACCTAGACTCCCCTTAACCTTACTTGACCTAATGACTTGTTTTGAGTTTTGTGGCAACTTGTTTAGTAGGTAGCCATTTTCAATTTCATCCAAAACACTTTTAGAGAGGCTTAGGATCAATTTTTCAGATCATTTACTCACAATTTTGGATTTCTTCTTCATGTTCTTCATTTTCTCTCAATTCTCTCTTTACACCTCCACTCTTTCTCCTCTATATCTCTCAATCTAACCATTCAAATTTCACCAAACCACCACAATTCTATTCCTCTTTTTTCCCTCTACAAAACCTAATAGCTTTCATAAGGATCAAACCTTGTTTGCTTGGAGCAAAATTCATGGGGGATTCAGCCATAATTTTAGAGCTTCATCTTGAAGATTGCTTGAAGATGCAAAGCTAGATTCTTGAAGGCACTACTATGTAGAGGAGGAAACTTTGAGTTTGTATTATATCTAGTTGGATTTGAATTTCTTCTCTATACTTTCCTTTATCTAGAATTATAAATTTGTATGACTCTTTGATCTTGTAATTTCAAGTGATGATTAACATGATTGAGAGATGTTTGTTGCAACTTGAGTTTGGTTACTTTTAGCTCTAGATTTTGGCCTCCTCAAGTTGATTCATTATCTTAGTTAGCTTGATGAGTTTAACATATTTTCTTGCTTGTCATAATCTTGCCAACTTGAATTCATGTGAATATCTTCATAAATCATAATCTTAAACATGTTAATTCCTTTATATGTGTTTGATCTAATTGACTTATGTTTGTAACACTTTAGTTAATCTTAATGCTAGCTTTGCTTTAGCTCATTTTAAGACCATAATCTTAGATTGGGGTTGGTTAAGGTATTAGCTAAGTCTTGGTTAATATAACTAAGTTACTAAAACCAAAGAGAAGAGAGAGGAAACCAAACTAGCTAGGTTATAATCAAATAAGGATAGGTGACCAATTTCACATAGGAGTTCTTACTTCTAATATGTTTACACACTCACTTCATTCACCTTAGAATTAGGTTTATTAGCTTATTTAGTTTTAAACTCAAATATGTCCAAATCATCTTTTAACTTGTAACATGCTTCACTCTAGCTTGTCTAACTAAGCCTTCTCATAGACCTAGGTTCACACTATCTCTACACTAGTGTAACTTAATATTATTTTTCTAGGGTAGCGACAACCTTAGTCAAAATTTAGCACCGTTGTTGGGGAGGCAAGGCTAGGATTTGTTTAGGGTTGATTTGTGTTTAATTTGTCAACTTTATGATTTTTGTATTTTCTTGGTGAATTTTCATGATTTTTGTGTGATTTTCGAAGTTTGAGTTACTAAGGATGCAACTTTGTGAAAACTAATTTCCTAACTTTCTTAGATGAATTTTGAAAATTCACTGGGAACTGCTCTATTAGGAAAAAACTCTAAAAACTGGTACATGAAAATATTTATATCTTAGTGTGTGAACAAAAGTGGTTTGGTATCATTTGGATTCATATATTGCTTTGAGCGAATTTTTGAAGCACATAAGGTCAAATACACTTTTTTGGAGAAATCCAGGACTTTGTACCAATATTGTGTGCCCATAACTTTTTCTATACATATCCAACTTTTTCCATCCAAAGCTCAGATTGCTCCTCAGTATCTTAGCTTCATTTTTTAATGTTTTGAGTTTTTTTTTATTTAGCCACAAACCTATTTGAAACAAGTGACGAAGCTCACAAGGTTAATTTGGAAGAAATTCTATTTCTAGATTGTTGTAGCCCAAATTGCAAGAAAAATTGGAAAATATTGGCTCATTGAAAAATTCTAAAATTTTTATATATTTGTTTTTAGTATCTTCCTTAATTCAAGTTAAATTTTTAGGTCATTTTGTCATGGGAATTGATTTGTAGAAGTTGCACAAGTGAATTGGGTAGAAAGCATAGTTCCAGAACATCTAGTTTTTGAAGAAGACTCTTCTTGAGCATTTCTAAAATCTTCCCTTGTTATTTTTAGGCTGAATTCACTTTTTTATTTTAGTTAATTTTTTTTGAGTGATTTTTATTTTTTCTCTAATTTTAGAAAATAAAATATTACTTTTTTCTTTTGCTTTGCTTGTGAGTCATTTGCTTGCTTGCATTGCAAGTCTTTGTGTGTTTTGCATTCTTTGAGTCTTTGATTTTTAGAACCAAATTTAGGTGTCTTTGTTTTTGCATTTAGTGTGTTTTTTCTTGTTGATTTTTGTTCTTGTGTCTCGTTTATTCTTGTATTATATTGCATGACCCGTGGGAGACTTAGTGAGAAAATTCCAATTGACTAAGAGATCGAGAGAACCTTGAAGAGGATAAGAAAAGAGAGAAATTTTATTGATAATCACCTTGTCTTAGAATTCTCCATGGCTTCTCTTAATCACAACATTATAGAGAAATTTTATTGACAATCACCTTGTCTTAGAATTCTCCATGGCTTCTCTTAATCACAACATCAATCACCTTGTCTCTCCATGGCTTCTCTTAATCACAACATTAATCTAGCTCATTTAGGGATACTTAAGGACTTCACCAATGACCCAAACCCTAATCTTATTGTCAATCCAATGCTTCAAAATGTTCCAAACCAAAATTTTGGAGTTGTCAACCAAGGGAATAGGGGAAATCTTGAAGGTCTAATAGTAATTCTAGCTTTGAACAATACTCAAATCTATCCACAAAACCTAAGGAATAATGGAAACTTCATGCAAAATCATAACCATGCATCTAGGGAAGAAGTAGGTATGCATCATCCTCCAAATGATGAGATTTCTATTAGGCAACTTACTTCTTCTAATTGGAATACCAATCCTTAAGGTTTGTACATTCCTCAACATGACCTATATGTTTGAGCTTAAGCATTCTCTTATTCAAGCATTGCCTAAGTTTCATGGGTTGCTTGGTGAGGATTGTCATAAATTCTTTCATTTTTTATATCTTATGTGCAATACCGATAGGTCCTCATATAGATGATGTTCAAGCTAGAACATTTTTATTTTGTCTTGAGTCACATGTTAAAGAATGGTATATGAACTTTCCACCTCATGTTAAGGTACACATTTGAAAAGAGTTGAGAGATATGTTTTTGAATAAATTCTTTCCATCATCTAAGCTACCTAGCTTGAGAAAACAAATTGTTAGCATGGTGCAAAATTTTAATGAAAGTCTTTTTGAGTTTTGGAATAGATTCCAATCTATGCTAGCTAGATGTCCACATCATTAAATCTTAAGTGAGCACCTTATTCAATATTTCTATAATAGTCTGTTGCTTAAAGATAAAATGAGTCTAGATGTCACCTTTAATGGCTCCCTTAGTGATTTGTCTCTCAAAAAAGCTTGGGAATTGATTGATAAAATGGAACAAAGTGGAGCTCACTATAGGGTTAGGGAACTTAAAGTACCTTCAGTTACTAATAGTTTGTCTAGCTCACAATTAGATGACTTTGCATATAGAATTGGAAAGCTCATTTCACTATAAGTAAATGCAAATGCAAATGCAAATTTGAGGAATTTGTCTAATATTGGTGTTCCTTGTAATGCTATGGTTCCTATGTCTTGTTCTTTTTGTAGCTCTTCCATACATAATGAAGGTAATTGTCCTTTATAATATGAATATGCTCATGAGTTGAATGCTATGTATAGGGTAAATAACCAAGGAAGAGATTAACAAGACATGTATGAGAACACATACAATCCAACTTTGAGAAATCATCCTAATTTATCTTATGCTAATCCAAGTGGAGCCTTAAATTAAGAACACCAAAGAGGGGGATTTCAAAGATACCAAGACCATGGCAACTCATTGTCATATGGACAAGGTAGTGCCTCAAATTTTTATCTAGAAAAAGGTAATAATTCTTACTCTCAACCACATAGTTCTTCTAGGCAAATTGTACCTATTGAGGGACCATCTTCTTCACCTCCTAATACCAATACCATATTGTCCAAAAATTTTGAGTTGTTATTAAATGAGGTTAAGAGTGATAGACAAGCTCAACAAACTCAAAACAAAACTATCAATGATGATATGTCTTACATGAAAAATGCTATAAAAGCTTTGTGTAAGCAAATGAGTGTTTTAACTAATCATATTTCTTCTACTAATGCTTAACAATCTACTTTGTCTAGCAATATAGTTATCAATCCTAAGTGTTCTATTAATGCTATTGAGCTTAGAAGCGGAAAAATGGTTAGTAAAGATTATGAAAATGAGCTCATTGATGGAAAATTCAATTCTAAAAATTTTGTTCCAGCATCTCTTCCTTGTGATTTTAATGTCAATTCTTGCTCTAATGATATTATTTCTTATAGTGATGAAGATGAAGAAGGTGTGGAACAAGTCTATAGTGATCCCCCACCTCAAAAAGAGTTAAAAGAGTAAGGAAATCAAGTCCAAAATGCCACTGTATAGCACCAAAACATGAATGTCTAGCAATATGAGAAGGAGAAGAAAGGTCAAAGAGCAACAACAAGCCAATAAAATGTGAGGAAATTGCCCTTCCCTCAAGCCCAAGCATCCAAATCACTAGCTTAAGCACCACAAGACCAAGAGGTAATGAACTTCTTTAGGTAATGAACTTCTTTTCTAAAATTCAAGTGAATGTACCTCTTTTAGATTTGATTAAAAACATTCTTAAATATGCCAAGTGTAATGTCCACCTTGACATTACTAAAATTCACCACACAATCATAACAAACAATCATAATTAAGAGTAAGGATTACTCCTAAACTCACATTATAAATATAAAGGTTAAAACTAATAATCCTTTAAAAATAATTGTAGAATAATTGGGATCCTATAAAAACCCTTCAAATTGATAGTTTGAGCTCAAACTTAATGATTTATATAGATATTGGAAGCATGAAAAAGTTTTGGGAAGCAAAAATACTTCAAAACAGGGCCAAAAATGTCATTTTTGAGTGTTTTGGTCCATACGCCGCGGCTCGTGATCTATGCACCGTGTCATGTAGCATAGAAAGCCAAGTATTCTTGCTATACTGTGCACTATAGCTTATGCAAAATGCGCTGCGGTGCACATGTCCATGACAGCAATGCTTAAAGAGGAGGAAAAGGGCAAAGCAAGAATGTACAAAGGATTAGAGCTTAAAGAGCTAGTGCCATTAAGTATAGAGCCTCTTAGCTTGGAATTGAAGCCATTGCATCCAATTTGAAGTATGCATACTTGAGAGAGGGAGAAGAGCTTCTAGTAATAATTTCTAACTCTCTCTCTTGTGATGAAGAACATGCATTGCTAGATGTCATTAGGAAAAATATTCTTGCCATTGGTTGGACACTGGGAGGCATTTCAAGCATTGATCCACTTGTGTGTACTTATAGGATTTTACTTAATGATCATGAAAAACCCATTAGGCAACCACAAAGGAGATTGAACCCATTGATTCTTGATATGGTAAAGAAAGAGGTGGTAAAACTCCTTAATGCTAGCATTATTTACCCTATTAGTGATAGTGAGTGGGTCTCACCAACTCAAGTGGTTTCTAAAAAGGGTGAGATCACGATTGTGAGAAGGGGGAATTAGTGCCCACTAGAGTGCTAAATGCATGGAGAGTT